ACCAGACCCAACCGGTTCCTGTTCCAGGGCCGTGAGAACAAGGGCGGCCCGAGCGGCGGCTGAGAGCGAGCCTCGGGAAGGGATTTGAAGCCAGAGTTGCAGTGAGGTCTCGTGACGCACCCGGGACGTCTGCTGTAGCGGATCTCTGAACCCCGGTGCGCAGAGAAGGCAGAGCTCAGAAGACTGAGAAACAGACACGTCCCCCAAACAGAGCTTTTTTGTGCCCTCCCGCGGGCCGGCTCCCTCGCAGTGACGCGGGGCCCGGAAGTCCGGTCCTCACCACCGCTGGGCAGGGTGCTTCTCGAAGCAGAACTTGGCGTTCCCGGAGGAGTCTGTTTCCAGCTGGGACCAGGCTGAGCATCTGGCCACCTCGCTCCTGCCTGAGCTGTGACTGTGGGCCACTCTGCCCTGAGCGCAGCCCCACGGCGGCTCTGTGGGCCTAGATCCCTGCTCCCGCTGAGTCTGGATCGCAGGGACTGAGCCCCAGATTCGCAGCGTCCCCCCGGGCAGGTGACGGGCAGGGACTGAAGTCCTGGCACTTCCGACGTCCAGTCCTGTCACCCGTACCCATGGCTGACAAACCTGGGGTCCAGAGACCGAGTACGTGCCATTCAGGCTCCCATGAGAAGGGGCCCGCCCCCGTTGGACTTCACTGTGCCGGGAGTCCTGGCTGAGCTGCCCGTCTGCCGGCTCCTGCAGGCCGGAAGCTGTGCTGGTCCCCCCCCAACACACACAGGTTCCGCAGCCCTGCTCCCCAGAGACCCCATAGTCAGTGGGATGGAGCAATGAAAACAGAAGGAAGTGAACCCAGAATGAGAAGCCAGGGGGTGTAAGCGGCGGGCAGGCATCGAAACAAGGGTGTGCCAGTGACAGGTGGCTCTGGGGAGGAGACGGGCAAGGGATCCATGGGCAGAGGAGCTTGCGGGCAAAGCTCAGCAGAGCTAGTGAGAAGCAGAGGTGGAGGGAGTCTGCCTTGGGGTGACCCCCTGCTGGAGTGGGGGCCGCCGGGGACGGGTCCAGGGGAAATTGGGGGCTTGAACTTCAGTCCTGAGCGGGGAGGGGGGAACCCCTGCAGCAGCGGGTTGTAGTCCTCGGGGTGAAACGCCCTTGCCCAGGAGTGGCCTCACTGTTGGTCGGAGGGGTGCGTGTGCTCAGCAGGAGGAGCGGGCCTCGTGGAGACTGAGCTGTGGCTGGAGGTGGTGCCCTGTCTGGGACGGGACGCTGGGGCGCGGGGCTGCCTGGGCTGGGGAACCCGGCACGCTGGTTGCCAGCAAGTCTTACTACGCTTTCCTATGTTGTCAGATATTCCAATGAAGCCACCTCTGCTGTGGGACAAGAACAGTCTGCCCCGAGCCTGGCTGGACAGTCCGCTTAGCCGTGCCAGGTCCCCACAGCCCTGCGTGGAGCAGCCCTTCCCGGGGTCTCGGGGTGGCCGAGGGGCATGTACTGCGGGTGCTTTGTGCTTCGCTGCCCACCCGGCCACACTCCCGGGAGGCCTGCCGCAGCCACTTCCTCTCAGGTGTGGTTCTGGCCTCAGCTGCTCTGTGTGCAGGTCCCCTGAGGAGCTCACAGAAGTCTCAGTGCCCAGGCCACACCCAGGCCAATGAAATCAGCACAGGGTGTGGGGGCGCAGGGAGCAGTGAGCGCAGTGCTCTGGGGCCTGCATCGCTGCATCGCCGAGGCTGGGAGCTGCTGTGGCTGGACCTTCCTGGGCGGAGACCCCGCTCCTGGACCAGCTGCTGCTCCGGGACGCCTGGCCCCTTGCTCGGCACCTGGGGTCCGGGGGCCTGTGAGGCCAGCACGGAACGAGAGAAGTGAGGAGCGCAGGGCTCTTCCCCTCCTGCAGCCAAGAGCTGCCACTGATGGCTTCTGAGGGCGGTGGTTTGGGGGAGGCAGGGGTAATGGAGAAAGGCGAGTAGATGCCAGGCTGGACAGTGGCTGTAACCAGTCAGTGATTTTCTGAGTGTTGTGAGTGGAAGGATCCTACGGTTGATTCGGGGCTCAGCCTGGGACAGGCTGTGGAGCCCAGCATGGCCAACCTAGGTCTTGGGAAAAACATTGCAAGTCTCAGAAAACGGCTTTTCTGGAGGCAGGGGTTTGACAGAGTGGTTACGACGGCGCTGGGGATGCCCACGGGCCATATTTTAGTGCCTGGTTTCAAGTCTTGGTTGTGCTTCTGATTCGAGCTCTCTGTTTAACGAAGACCCTGGGAGGCAGCTGGTGATGGCCCAGGTACTTGGGTCCCTGCACCCACTAAGGAGAATGGATTGAGTTCTAGGCTCTTGGCTTCAGCCTGACCCAGCTCCAGCTGTTGTGGGCATTTGGGGTGTAGACCAGCAGATGAAAGATAAAGATTTCTCTCTCTCTCTCTCTCTCTGTCTCTCTCCCCCAACCTCCCCTCCCTCCCTGCCTCCCCCTTTCAAATAAAAGGATAATAAATAAGTAAAAATCATTTAAAAAGAAAAGCTTGGGGCCGGCGCTGCGGCTCACTAGGTTAATCCTCTGCCTGCGGCGCCAGCACCCCGTGTTCTAGTCCTGGTCGGGGCGCCACATTCTGTCCTGGTTGCTCCTCTTCCAGTCCAGCTCTCTGCTGTGGCCCAGGAGTGCAGTGGAGGATGGCCCAAGTGCTTGGGCCCTGCACCCGCATGGGAGACCAGGAGAAGCACCTGGCTCCTGGCTTCAGATCAGTGCTGCACGCTGGCCGTGGCAGCCATTTGGGGGGTGAACCAACAGAAGGAAGACCTCCCTCCCCTCCCCTCCCCTGCCCTCTCCTCCCCTCCCCTCCCTCCCTCCCTCTCTTTAACTCTGCCTGTCAAAAAAAGAAAAAAAAAAAAAGAAAGAAAAGCTTGGGACCCACGTTGTGGTGCAGCAGGCTAGGCCACTGCTCACTGATACTTGCATCCCATATTGCAGTGCGAGTTCAAGTTCTGGTTGCTCCACTTCCAGTCCAGCTTCCCAATAATGCTGGGAAGGCAGCTGATGATGGCCGCAGTACCTGGGTCCCTGTCACGCATGTGGGAGACCTGGACTGGGCTCCTGGCTCTTGGCTGCAGCCTGGCCCAGACTTCGACTGCTGTGGCCATTTAGGGAGTGAACCAGTAGGTGGAAGATCTCTCATTCTCTCTCTCCCCCTTTCCCTGTCTCCTTGTCACTCTGCCTTTCAAATAAAATAAATCAATCAGTCTTTAAAGAAGGAAAGTTTTTTGTCATCCTCGGGGAAGAGGGATTGGACACGCGGCCTTCCCCAGGTGTGGCCACACACCTGCTGGTCACGCGCCTGCTGCACTCACTGCCGATGACGCACGACCTCAGTCTGCGCTGTGTGGAGAACAACTGGGAGCGTGGCTGTCGCAGTGGACCGGGAGCTGGGGGAGACTCTGCTCTCCTCCTCTTGACAGCTTTCTGTAGTTGGAAAAGCTGTGTTGTCAACCTGCTCCTATTCTTAGGAAGGTTTTAATTAAGGAGCCCCAAAGTAGCCAGGTTTTTAAAGAGGGAGTCACGTTGCTGGCTCCCACCCCACTCACCCCTCAGCCAGGGCTGCCAAGGAGGAGAGACCATGAGGTGAGCCACAGGAGGCAGCCTGGGAGGGACCCGTGGGCTCCCAGCTTGCTTGTCTGAAAGGGCGGATGGTCAGTGGCCAAACTGAAGGTCGTGGGCGTGCCTGCAGGCCAGGGAGTCAGCCTCTCACGGAGGGCGGGGGTCTGTTTGACCAGGTCCCAGGACCCGTAAGTGGCCATAGGACTGAGTGAGCCTCGAGGTTCCTCCCCATCAGAGATTCTGTGACGCTGAGGTTAATTCTGTCCGTTGCGGGGGTTTAGGGGGTGGGCAGTGGAGGCCCCAGGGAGGGACAGCTGCTGGCTCTGCCCCTCTGCACCAGGAGGGCAGGTTCGTGTCGCAGCCGCTCTGCTGGGCATGCACAGGCTGCTCCTCTTGCAGGATGCATGGTCCCTTCCAGAGAGGAGAGAGACCCACGGGCAGTGGAAAGCAGTTGGTTTACCCAAGAGACAGCGTCTGAAGGCCAGACCCGCACCAAGAAAGCCTGTGCTTCCCTCTCGGCCTTGCAGACGAGGCCTAGGCTCATGCAGGAGAGCTGCGGGCGCCCCTCCCCCTCCCTGGCCTGCACCCCTTGAACTCTAACCTCGCGCCGGGCTGGCAGCTCGTTGCTCCGCTCTGCTTGGCTTGTATTTGGGCCGCAGCTGCAGGTGTCTCCCAGCAACGCAGTGTGGACACCGGCAGGCCCGGGAGCCCAAGCTGAGCTCCAGGTCCCCTGCAGCCCTGGCCTCTCGGCCTGCTCCTGAGAGTTCTGCACGTGGGCCCGTCACGACACCGCAGAGGCCACCAGGCTGGCCCCACGTGGGGACCACCGAACTCCAGCAGGGCTGGTGGGAGCCCCGGAGGGAGCGGTGAGGGTGGACCTGGCCTGACTGACCAGGCCGGGTTAGGCTGCTCTCCCTGTACAGCGGAAGCAGAAATTTGGCCAGGTCTCACTGCCAAGGTCATTCCACTTGGGCAGAGTCAGGGCCCGGCCCCAAGCCCGTACCCTGTCCTCTCCCAGGCCTGTCTCCCACTCCCCTCTTCCTGGAGGTCCAGGGCAGCGGAGGTGCCAGCCACGTGTCATGTCAGTGTCTTCGGTCTCTGCTGTGTGCGCCAGCGTTGTGGCGCTACAGGTTCAGCCACCACTGAACTGGTTCGAGCCCTGGTGCTCCACTCCTGATCCAGCTTCCTGCTAATGCGCCTGGGAAGGCAGTGGAAGATGGCCCGAGGGGGATGGAGTGCTAGGCCTGACTCAGCTCTACGAGATCTGCCTCTGTCACTCACTCGCTGTCACGCTCCTTCAAATAAATAAGTCTTATAAAAAGGAAATGTCTGCTGCGCCCCACCCCCCACCGGGCTGTCCCCCGACATGAGACCCCGGGCTGTGCAGGAGGCCATGGGCAGCGCCGGCCCGAGGGGCAGAGGCATCAGTCTGGCTCACCTGCGGTCCTGTGTTCTCTCAACAGCAAATGAAGCTCGTGGCCGAGAACCTGAAGGAGGAACCCCGGGAATCTGGGAAGGAGAAGCCGAGCTGAGCGCAGGCCGCCCCGTCCGCCCCAGGCCTCTGCCTGGGGTCAGCCGGTGCCTGTGAGGGCAGGGGTGGTCCCCAGGACAGCGTGGAGGCCAGGTGTGGCCGCCACATGGCTGGCGCCCTCCGCACTCTGCCCCGTCCTGGCTCAGGGCGGGTAGAAGAGGGCAGTCATTCCCCCCTCCCCCACACCCCCACCCTGCACACCCCTCTCCTGCCGCGTCACTTTGTCCAAAGCCACTGCTGGGTCAGGGTCACCAGCTCTCCACGTTGTCCTCACAGAAGGCGATGGCTGCTCCCGACCCCACCACAGCCCAGGGATTGTGGCAAGGTGGTGCCTGTGTGCCATGCCCATCACAGGAGCCATGGGGGCGGAGGACCTGCCGACCCTGCGCCGAGTGACCGAGGTGTCCCCTGCAGCTCGGCCTCGGCGCGTCTGTCCTGCGATGTAACAGACTCCTCACCAGCACAAACGCTGGTGGCTGAGCCATTAAAGCCTGTGCCTCTCTGATCACTGCCTCCCTTGCCGCGCGGAGCCCTGGATCTGGTAGTTAAAGGTTGAGCCGTGAGATGGGGGCTGGGTGGGGTAGCGCAGAGGCAGGGCGCAGCCTGAGGCTGGCAGCTGAAACCCGGGCTGTCCGGGAGCTGCAGCTGGTGCCTGCCAAGGGAGCCCATGGGGCACTGGGCTGGGGTCACACGAGGACTGAGCCCACGGCACCAGGCCAAGGACCAGCTGCTGCAACACCCTGGTGAGGACTGGAGCCTGCACAGGAGGGGGCCCCTCTGAGCTCTCTGGGGGGGCTGCCCCTTATTCATGGGCTTAGCAGACCCCAGAGGCCACCCCGACCCAGAGCACAGAGGCCAGGCTGCAGAGCACCCGGCTGGCCGGCTGGGGGCAGCTGTGAGGGCCCCTGCTATTCCTCGGGCGCCTGGAGGCCACCCTCCCCTCATCCCTGCTCCTGGAAGCTGCGGCTCCCCGCCTGCCGCCTCTTGGATGCCATTGCGCCCCGGACGGCCCTGGGGGAGTCAGCGTTGCCCCTGCCTTCCTCGGGCGGCAGCGGCTCCGAGCCGGCACGTTCCAGAACAGGCTCGCGTTCCAGAGCATCGGCGAGCGGAGGCGAGCGGCAGCCTCCAAACAGGCCAGGCCCCCGGCCCCCAGCCCCCAGCCCCCGGCCCCCAGCCCCCAGCCCCCAGCCCCCAGCCCCCCTCGCAGCCTGGGCTCCCGTGCTTGCTGGGGAAGCACGGAGTGCAAGTGCCGGCCTTGACCCTAGCTCTGGGTCGCCTTGCCCCACCCGGCACTGGTTTTCTTTGGGGGTGAGGGGCAGTCACGTGCGTCTGGTCCCTTGTGAAGCAGCAGGCCTGGGGCCCACCTGCAGCGGCTGCACCAGCCAGGCCCGGCCTCCCTGCCCTGGTGACTGGGGCATTGCCCAGGCCTCCCGCCGCCCCTCCTCTGCAGCAAGAGCCCAGCCAGGACCCCCGGCTGGGGACGAGGGAGGCTGGCGGGCAGGGGCATGGCCTGGCCCCGCTGCTGCACTCCCCGAGGGCGGCCCAGTGCACCGAGGGGGCCAGTGGCTGGCGCTCAACCTGTGGCCAGTGCCCGGGACTCGTGGCAGGATTCACAGGGTGGAGGTGGTGGAACCAGGCTGTCTCAGCTGCACGGCTGTCATCTTTGTAACCACATGGAGGAAGACAGCCAGGCCCAGGCGGCCCACCCTGCGCCCACACAAAGGCCAGCACAGCCCCTTCCCTGAGCCTCAAGCACTGCCCCCGCCCTCCGCTCCCTGTACTTCCGGCCACCAGCTAGTCGCTCTGGGGACCCTGGCTGTGCCGCCTTCCACTCCCCATGGTCACTACGAGATCACTCCCCGCCCTGCCCACCCGGTTCTCCCCAACACCCTGAAGGCTGCAGGTTGTCCATAGCCCACCCGCTCCGCTGTCATCGAGGGCTGGGAGGCCCCTGCCCGCCACTCACAGACTCGGACCCCAGAGATCCCAGCCCTGGCCTGTAACACCTGCCTGCAGACCGGGCAGGGACAGCTGCTGAGGGCGTGGGTGCCGGAGTCCCTGCCCTGCCCTGCCCTTTCCAGACGAGGAACCGCGCGGCTCACGGTGGGGTGGGGCCTGCAAGCCCTGGGCGCCGCCACTGAGCCCGCGACAGGGGGCAGGGACAGGTCATGGGGAAAGAACCCTGGCCAGGGGAGCTGCATGCTGGGCCCGGTTCTCACGCAGCAGCCAGCAGGGCAGGAGCGGACCAGAGCTGGCCAGCAGGAGACCTCGGGGGAACGGCCCCTTCGCCCGGGCGCCGCACGCTCTGCACGCCCGAGGCTCCTGAGGGCCGGGAGGTCCCAGGCTCCACCTGGGCTCTGGGCCGTGTGCCCCGACAGGCCCTGTCCCCAGGCCCCTGCAGCGGCCACGCCTCAAACTCTGCCTCAGGCGGAAGGGGGCCAGTGTCACACGTGCCCCTAACTCGCCTGCCTCAGACCATGGGATTTAGGTTGTCACCGAGATGCGCTTCACAGCCCGGCTCTCTCCTCGGAGCCACTGCACGGCGGGTTCTGTGCCGCGGACCCTGGAACCTCCAGGGCTGGGCGCTGTCACACCCCGCACGGGAGACCCCCAGTGTCTCCCGGGACTGCAGGCAGGCAGGGACTTTGTCACTGTCACCACCAGGAGCTCAAAAGCTGAGAACCAAGAATAAACATTGTCGCGGCATTCAGGAAGCAACAGCAGCCAGTGGTTCGCGCTGCCCAGCCCTGCAGCAGAGCTGGGGAGGCCAGAGCCCGGGGTCCTCCTTAGGACTCCACACTGGCCAGGTGAGCAAAGTGTCCCCAACACTGGCTTTCATTCTCACAGCACCTGCACCTGAGCCCCACGCTGCAGCCCCGCACTGCCTCCTGCTCTTCCCGCCGGAACCTTGGGCGAGAAGGAAGGCCAAGGCTGCAGGACGAGGGCTGCAGAGTCCAGACCGGTCCTTCGCCAATCTGAAGAACCGCAGGGCCCGATAAGAACAGGGCCTGGTGTGGTGCCCCTGTCAGCAGCTCCGTGCCGGGGGCTTCAGGCTCCACGATGGCATGAAGCCAAGGGGACTTGACGGAGCTGCAGCCTCCGAACCTCCAGGGCCCTAATGGAAGGGCTTGGCCCCTCTGCCAGGGGGCCACAAGGGGGGCCACAGCCTCTTCAGGCAGAGGATGCTTTCCCTGGTCCTGTAGGCCCCGGGCCCCAGGCTAAGTGTTGCTGAAGGGCTGACCCAGCCACTGTGGCCAGGGCAGTGGTTTGAGAAGGAGATGCGGGCACGGGAGTAATGGGGACAGGAGGCAGACTGGGGCCCCGTGGGCCGCTGCTGCAGGACCAGGCTTTGCGGTCTGAGATGGGAAGCCATGGCCGGGGGAGCTCCAGTGGAGCTAAGTGCTGGTTCAGATGGAGGAAGAGGAACGTGATCGGCCCATTTGCTTTCATCAGTTAGAAAAGCAGACAACACGTGGAGCAGCAACTTCCAGACACGGGCAGCAGAGCGCACAGGAACCACGTCGGGTGAGTCCTGCGAATGCCGGCTCGCGGGCCGGAGGGGAAGCCCACAGCGGGTGGGTTCAGGGGGACCAATGCGGACAAAGTTCTCAGGACAGAGTAGCCCAAAACAGAGCTACCCAGTGAGCGAGCTCCAAACACCTGCGGTCTCTGGGTAAGTAACGATCAGCACTTCTGTGCAGGAAAGCGACCCGGGACTGGAAAAGGGCCCACCGGAAGGCAGAAGGCTGAGCGATTATCGGAGCTTTCCTGGGCCCCGGCAAGTGCTGGCCAGCGACAGGAGACCGCTCTGGACACCCCGCCTAGCAAAGCGAGCCCAGGGGGATCTCAGGGATCCCGAGTAACCGGCTGGCAAAGGGAAATCGAACACATTGAAGAATACAACAGAATCCAGCTCCGGACAACGTGCAGTGTCCGCGACAATGAAGTCAGCCTGGAATTTCATACCCAGTGAAGGTGTTCTTCATAGGCGGAAGTACCCTTTCAGACAAGCAGAGACAAGTGTCCCGCTGGCAGAAAAATGTGGACCTACACCAAGAGATGGAGACTGCAGGAACTAATCCGTGACAAACACTCAACCTGTCATCTCTCAAGAAATCGATTTAAAGCAAAAACTCGTACATAGGTGAAAAGTGTGCTAGCACAAAGAGGGGGAGGACACGGACGCAGAGCCTGGCCGGGGGGGAGGACGCCACGATTCCGGCCTGCACGAGGCTAACGAAGCTCCCGTGCTGCCCTTTGCCCAGATGGGGAGCACTCTAAGGACTGGACGGGAGGACCGAGTTACGGACTTGCGGCAGCCACGCTCAGGTCGTTGAAACTGTGTTGGTTCCTCGTGGCAGACGTGGGCTAAGTGTATTTTGGAGTTGTTCCCGCAGATGACCAGTAGCCTGAACAAGCTCACTGGGACATTTGCATGCAAAGAAGGCACGGGGAATTGAACCTCGGAGAATTCCGTTTAGGGGTTGGGAGAAGACGGGGGGATGAGTGGACTGAAGAGCAGGTATCAGTGACAGCAATGCAGGGCGGGGCGTGCGCAAGGAAGAGGGATGACCTGGCCCTGAAAGCTGACCATGGGAACCGCGGCTGTCCAAGGCTGGCGGGGAGGGGAGGCGAGAGGACAGGGCGCTAATGGGCACTCTTGAGAATATTCTAGAACCTCAATCCCACCTGGTGACGGGCGGCTCGGGAATGACACCTCCTGAAAGCTGTTTTGTGGAAACTGAACCAGGGGATTTGGCACGTGCAAGGTAGGGCAGAGGTGGTGGCAGGCATAGACACACGGATCGCCAGATAGAGGCAGAGAAATAAAATGTTTTTGTTCCCTGTCAGGTGTGATCCAGTAGAGAGGCAGTGTTTGATGACACGAGAGAAAGCAGAGGGTGCCTGCAGCGAGGTCCCCAAAGCCGCCAGGGGCGACGGCCCCTAGAGTCGCAGTGGAGTGGAGGGGGCGAGCCTGGAATCAGACCTACGAAGGGCAGAGCACGTGAGTACCTGTGCAGAAGGAAGCCTGGAGCTTGCAGCAGCTCAGATCCACGACCTGGGGGGCACAGTGAGCAGCCAGGCGAGGGAAGGAGATGAAATGGAAACACAGAGTGCAGGGGGGGCCGTCAGTGAGCAGCAGCTCAGGTGTTCCCCACAGCCGGTGGCTGGTCACACACACAGGGGACTCCCGGAGAACAAACAGCACCTGGGACGCGGCTTATATTGCTGAACACCAATATGCCACTTTATTATTTGGACATTTTTTCCCATTTGACACATACCTGTTGATGTTTACACAATGAGGAAAATCAACCAACATTGGGAGCAACTGACCAAATCAGTTGCTAATTCTGTACCCTCTTAACACATCAATTCTTACTCAGTGGGGATATCTTTAATTCATTTCAGTCTCACGGCTATTCTTAAAATCGGTGTCGAGATTGTCACATCTTTAAATACAGATAGAACTGCCAGAAGTACATAATTTTTATATATATATAC